TGCTGTCCCACGATAGGACAGCGTGAATGCAAGGGGTGTAGACAAAGCGGGACGAGAATATTTAAGTGCCTGCTACATTTTAATAAACGCCATTTTGCTTCACCTATACTTGGGGTCTGTGTGAGCATTTGGCCCCGACCTGGTATGGGGTCGGTTTCGCTGGCAAAGCAGCACCTTATGGGGTGGAAAACGAGTGTTGCAGAGAGAACGGCAACAGGTCTTACTTGCTTGGTTTGAAATCTATGCTGAGGACAAAAAAGCATGGAGATGGCAAGAAAAAAAGTGAATATATATATGTATAAACACATAAATAATATCATTCTGCCACAAGAACAGACAGTATTGGAGCAACACATGGTGTTCAATTAGTCAAATTGGAACTATTTTCCTACGAATTACTGACAGGTGATTCTCTGAGAGTTGGACATCTAAAACATTGCATGTTCTGTCCAAGGAGTACATGAAAATACAACACATACACACAAAAAAAATAAGCACACACACACACACACAAAAAAAAAGCCCTCCAGACAAGTCAACCAAAGACTCCCTATGGGTCCCTGTAGATAATCTGAGATTTTCCAGTATTCCAAAACTCTAAATATCTTAACATCTCATACATAGGCACTAAAAGTCTGAGAAATTTACAACTGCAAACAGAGTTTGAGTGGAAATCATTATTCATTTCCAGCTTCTTTTAGTATTCTTTTTTTCTTCATTAAAACTAGCCCTAGGAAAAAAAAAAAAAGAGAGAGAGAGAGAGAGATTAAACTAATGAGAAGTCAAATCAAGGCAATGTACATGTTCTCACTGAAAAGGTACCTCCTGCTGCAGGGTATCTTGTCACAAGGTGGGCATTGATGCACCCTTGCATTCAGATGTGGTTCCTACCATGGCCCCAGCGAGAATAAGCACCGAGGCAGGGAAAAAGTAGGCCTGATGTAGCTTTTCAAATTGATGCTGCTTGTGGAGAGGAACAAACAGCTCATCTCCAACCGAGGGGCTGACTCTCGTCATTTATTCATGGCCAGCCCCCTGCCTGGATGGAAATAAAAATGTTTCAAAGATGACTGCGTGGGGGAGCTGGAGGACAGCTTGAAGGCAAACTGAGGTTAGCACATTAATTTTTTATCTCTGGAGACTGGGTATCCAATTATGCTTAGAGTACACAAACAACTTTAGCTGGTCTCTCCAGTAGCGATTTATCCACATCATAAAATCTGCAATGCAACTGGGCACAACAGGCCAATACCACAAAATAATATAAACAGGTGGTTTTACAGGTTAGATGCTCAAGTTTGCAGAGTGACAGGAGTGCACAGAACTGCATTCTTGTTAATTAAGCTTACTGCAGGTAAGACCCAACTTGCACGTGACAGCTAGGCCAGCAACAGTCAGCACAATGTGCTTTATTTAGAATCATCATTGGCCAAAGTGCTTGTGGGCATAAGTTCAGTTGCTGTTTACTATGCAGCTGCCTTTAACCAATGCTTCACACAGCAAAACACCACTGAAGATTCTTCTTCTTTAACTGGGAGGCAGTTTTTCTCCATGTAGACAGACCATCCTATTCTCTTGGGAATTAAGGAAGTGCATTTATACTAGCACACTCATTCACACATACATTTCAATAGATAGAAGTCTAATGTAATTCCTATATCAGAAGTGTCTCCAAATTTGTGAACACCAGCTGCCCCCAGAGCTGGCCTGTACCCATAGAGTGAGATGGATTAAAACAGCAGGTGTTTTGTGGCAGTCTTGGATGCACCCTGAGCTCACAAATCTCACGCTGTCAGTGCCAACATGTGGAGGAAAAGGCAGCAGAAAAAATGCTGAAAATGGTGCGGGGTTATTTCTTTTTATTGGTAGACTTGAAGAAAAGGGGAGTTGACTTTTTCAAAGGTTTTCTATAATCTCTTTTTCACAAGTCCATACTCATGCCAAAAATCAGAAAGCGTGTCAATGATAAATGGGTGTGTAGGTGAAGGCAAGACTAAGCACTGAGAAAAGACTATATATCTGTGTCAAAGGGCTAGATAAGACATACAAACAAAGCAGCCAAAGCTCAAACAAAGCTCAGGCCAAGGTGTTTCAGGAAAGGCAAAAGCAAGAGTACTACTGAACTGTCTTTCCCGATGCAAAGAATAATCTACAGAAAGGAGAACAGCTGAGTTGTAAATAAACATTCTGCACCTCCCAAGAACAGTGAGACATTCCAGAGAAGCGAGACTTGGGGTTTGGGTCAGTCCTCTTCTTTAATACACATCTCTTCAGTGGCTTTCATTTCCAGATAGGTTGTTCCTATCTAAATCTCCTTTCCAGTCCCTGGCTAATTTGCTTAACTATCCAAATTGGTCTGTGCAGGAGGAGAAGAGTAAAGATGAACGGGTTCGGGTGTGCAAGAAGCCATTAGGTCTTGAGCTGGCTCCAGCCAAGGCATCAGTAACTGAATCTTGTAGGAGCTGAGCTCCAGAAACATCATTCCTGCATAAGCAAAGCTGCCATTACTGCAGGTACTGCAAGGAGCAGAGACTGCAGAAGCTACTGCAGACACTTAGGTACAAAGGAAGTTCACGCTGCAAATGCCTGCCTGCCTGAACTTCACTGACCCAATGCTCACCTCCTACAGCGTGACAAATTCCAAATGGCTGGTTTGAATTTGCCTTGCCATTGCTAAATCAGGCTGCTCATATCTCTCTGACACACTGCTAAGCAAATAACCAGATCCTGCTCTATACCATATCTCTGGTCCTCCCGTTCAGTAGGTTGCGGATTAACTGTTTGGATTAAAATCCCCCCTCCTCCCTCCCTTTTCCCCCAAGCCCATGCAGAGAGGATTCTTGAAGCCCAAGCCCTGCAATACTGCAAACCTGTCAAATCTAATTCATAACACATGCCTAGCAGTTCTTAGGGGAGAGGAAAGATCTGATGCTCTGGCTCCTCACCATCCTCCTGTACAAAGGGACCATTTAATGACTGCACATTAGCAATGTGGACAATTAGCATTCACATGGAAGATAAATGGCAGCATAAATTAAATATCACCAAGTGAAAGAGCAAAGATGCAAGATCTGAGCTCAAGGCTGTAAACAAATAAACAGGCAAAAAGGAACAAACAGCGACTGCGACAGCTAAACCATTTGGGAGAGTTACCTTCCAGCGTCTGGGACTTTCCCCAGGGGTGATCTTTACATTCGCATAGCTGTTGCCTGTACCTCACTGGCTCCTGTCTGGTTGTTAAGCAGATTCTTTCTGTTTGGGAATCTGGATGTCAGAGGATTTTACCCCATTGGTTTTGTACTTCTGCCTGTTTTGGGATTTGTGCTTTAGCAGATTTCCTCTGCTGCACATGCATTACACAGACGCTCTGGGGGAACACAAGCCTGAGTAGCTCCTGTTCTACCCCTTCCTATACGGCAGAACAAACCTTTCTTTCCATGGGCTAAGTCCTACTGCTGCTAACCTTCCCACAGCTTTTCTAGCTCCTCTTCCCGCTAACTGTAATAAATTCTTAAGTACCAGAAGGATAAGGACTGCGACTGTCCTTGACCTCTGTGATAAGCTGAAGGGTAAAATACACTACCCTTCTTTGTCTGAGCATCTGTGCAAAGCCATTATGAATATTAATTCAATAGAGACTTGTGACACACCTCTCAGGTACATAGCTATAACTAAATATTGCAGGCATTAAAAAAAAAAAAAGCCAACAATTACAAAACTCAGAGATAATGTAAATACTAAGTAAACAAAAGCTACTGGCTGAACACTGACCGTCTCCAGCCTGCCTAAGCTGCTCTTAGTGCACAGACAGCTCAAGTTTATCAACAGCTAGAGGAGTCAAAATTACCTTTACTGTGAACCTACCAAACACATGAATAACTGAAAAGCATAAAAGTGACAGAAATACTGAGATTGTCAAATGGGAGTGGCCCTTCAAGCTCACACAGCGGCTAGCAGCAGATGCTTTGGAGGACGAAAACCCCCTCCCTTCATCCCTGGGGACAATTATCAATTATCTGATTTGAAAGAAAATGTTTTCCTACTTCCATAAGTCTTCCACTTCTTCATAACACATTATAACATGTTTGTCTGGATATTTCTTCCCTTAAGCATTTTATAGCTTTATTTGCATTGTTCATTACTCTGAACTAAGATGACACAGTTCACACTGTGATTTAAAAGGATGTCTCAAAAGTGAACAAAGGTATCTTCACAAATCCTAAGGTAAAAGTAACTATCCCATAGTATTGCACACTGGCAAATTGAGAAACAGCAGCTTAGAGACTTGCCAGTTTTATGAAAAATTAGTTCATAGTACAGTCTCCTTAATCTCCTGTTCTGTGCCTAAGAAACAGAGGAAGGATAGACAAATATGTTCATTCAGGCATTACTTTTCTTTCAGCCTTGCAGTGGTGTCAGAAATCTAAGCATGTGACTCATCTCACGTTCCAGCACTCCTTGCAGAAGAGAACTGGTATTTTTTCATAGATTTTCCAAAACCATAACTAAGAAGCATCTTTTGGTAAAGTTGAGTGTGAGGCTTCTGAGGAAGAAATGCAAGCATAAGGAGGACAGAAGCTGTGAATTTCATATCAAAAAATCTGAGGAAGGGATAAAGGTGTCTTACTCAAAGGCAAAACAAAGACAGCCCCCTGAAACAGAAAGTGCATTTCCTTGACATCCTCCTAACAGCCACTGGGAGGTTGCTTGACAATGGGTGGGTTGGGCAGCTCTTCTTTTCCCCCCTCTCCCTGACACCTCCTCCCCACAGGAGCAGTAATGGAAAAGTGACTTGCTGCAGAGATAATGCTGGGTTTGAAATGAATTCCTGACTAGCTGAGCCAGCACTGGTGTGAGCTGCGGCTGATTAGCTCCAAGCATGCAGGTACCAATCACTCACAACGGAGCCAGGCAATCAAGCCAGCCTCCACAAAGCAAAGAACAGATGAAGGCAACATCCCCGAAAAAGATCTCAAAGGTAAAGGGAAAATACTACTCACGTTTGTGGTTTTCATTTCTGTGGACAGGAGAAGAGCGGGTCTCCTGCTCCCGGGCCTCATCACCCTCTTCACTGGCAAGATGAGTGTGAGCATAGTGGTAGCTCAGCCCAGGCCTGTTCTTGTAACGCTTGCCGCAGACTGGGAGAAAAGGAAACAGGAGGGAGGAGAAGAGAGAATGGAAACATCAGGACAACCTGAAACAATAACAGCATTCTTCAAACAGCATCCCCACCTCTCCTGGCAGTAGCACCACACATTCCATGTTCCTGCCTGAAATACTCCCAGTGGGTGTCAGTAAAAGGTAACAGACACCAGCCCTGCTGCCCCACATCCCCAGATAAGCACTCTTCCCATGCTGCCAGCAGCCCTTCCTGCTTGCCCAGACAAATGAGCATCCAGTCTCTGCAGCTCATACAGCCCTAATCCTCTCCGCTGAGATAACTAACAAGATTGCACATAAAATTAAATGAAATGCCCCAGCTCTGATGTTGATGCTAAACAATGCACAGCAAGGGGAACTGGACCAAGAAGAAAGGACATTATTTTCTTGATTATTGATCTCTGGTAAAAGAAAACAAAATTACAAAAGGCTTTATTTTAAAAAGCAATAAATAGCTTTGTTCATAATTCCCAGTCAAGACAAGAAGATGGAAGTCATCCACAGTTTCTTCCTTGAAGAATAGTAGTGATTCTTCCCCATCTAGGTTAACTTCACATTCAGAATCCTAATGAATAGAATAAAATGTGACGTGGAATCCTCCTTCTGAGTTTTTGTTTGTTTTAAGACTAAGTCAACAGGCATTAAGAACAAGAATAAACAATTCAGGCTGATGAAAGGTCTACAAAGTGTATAAGCTCAATGCAAGGGCAAACTTCATCATAAAATTCATTATATACAAATTGAGCTTCTATAAAGATTTTAATTTGCGTTATTGTTCCTAAATTTCTCTCTTTTTATCTTCAAAGCATTCTCTGAATGTCCATTTTCTTTTATGTAGATATTTCATCTATCAAATCGTATTTGATACTGCCACTTTAGAAGACTAGTAAACAAAGACAGAAGCTTAGTGGCCTTCCTGCAGATTTTTCCTTCTAGTTACGTATTCAGTCACTGTACAGCTTCATCAGTCTGAAGGATTTCACTCAGGAATAAGTGTTATGTCCAGTACTCTGCCCACATTGCATGCTAGGAAGGTGTACCAGAAGATAAAACAGAACTCAGTCTCTAATTCTCTATCTTTATGTTACGCCTCTTCAAAAGATCTCCAAGAGGGAAGTCACCATCCAGTCCTAAAATCTTCACTCGATACCTGAAATAAATCCTGCAATGCATACAGGTACTTCCCATTCCACAGACAACTAAGTAATTATATCAACGTCATTAAACTCTAAAAAGAAGCAAACAAACAAGAAAAAAATCATAAAAAGACTCACTGCAATAATTCACATCTAAGTAAAAACTCCATTATTTTACTTTTCTGCTGCTGCTCACAAAAAGCCAGTTGATGTTCCACAGTGTAGACCAAAGGATAGAAATTTGTAAATCAAAGCCTAGTATAACGGATTTAATTCTCTGTCTCTTCTAACATATTGTTATTATTGTTTCCTTAAGGAAAATACTTTCTTTATTATAAACGTGTGATACAACCCCACGATATGAATAAAATGACTGTATTGGAGGATTAGATACTTCTATCCCAGTTTTCTCCATTCTGCAAGATGGCGATCATGTGGTTACTCTAACAGAACAGTTTTTTTTCCAAATGCAATGCATCCTGAGCAGAGGGGTTTTAAGTCTTTGAATTCCCTTGATTTAGAAATAAAAATTCCTGCAGAAGAGAAGCTGAGAAGGATTAAAATGCCCAGATGCATATGTTCATCCATTCTTTCAAGCATCTGCCCTCATCTGTGCTGTAAACCTAACTGTACTGACAGATTTTTTGAACAATTAGATTGGTATTCAGTGCATGCTGTCGTCAAAACACAAGTTTGGTCTCCCTTCTTCTTCTAGTAGCAGTCACAGAATCATAGAATTACCAAAGTTGGAAAAGATTTCTAACAACATCCACGTCCAACCGTCTACCTATCACTAAAATTTCCCACTAAACCATGTCCCTCAGTATTTTTCTACTCCATTCTGGAGAGCAGAATTACCTACTGCTCATCTGAAGTCTTAAAGAATAAAGGACAAGCAGTGAAACAGCTGTTGACAAGGAGTAAAACAACAAGAAGCCAACAGTTCTGTATAACTTAGCCTCCACTTTTTGAATATTTGGAAAAGTGAAACTCAGAAGTCATCATCAAACCAAAGACAGCTACAAAATTCTCACTGTTTAAATTATTACAGAAGGATAACTCTCTCTAATTAAGCAACTGTAATAGCATTTATTAGAATGGAGAGAGAGAGATTAACATTCCTAGCAGATTATTGAAGCATTTCAGTAAGCATCCTGCTCTAACCACCTTATTTGTGTGTTTGAAGATGGAAGTTAAAAATCATATTTTTGCTAGGAATTACTAATACTGCTCAAAAACTTCCCTGTGTAACTTACATTCAGAGCACAGACAGATGATCAGTACTGTACTAACAAAGGAGAGGCACCTGGAATCAACTATGTGATATATACTATCCAGTTATATCTTGTTCTTAGTCTGCTTGATCCGGCATTACTACTAATCTAGCTGTAAAAACAGATAATATCTAAAACCCAGTCCAGTTTCCCATTTTCAATGTTGGTGTTTGTTTGTTTGTTTTAATTTTGAATAAAAAATATTAAATGTTTCTAAAAATTCTACCAAACTTCATTCCATTTAGGCCTACATGAAGACTTACCTATGATTCTAACCCCAATGATTCTAGCAAGATAAGCTGTTATCTTGCAAAAGCAAAGCATCCTTTAATAAAAGTCTCATACAGCTTTCTCCCTCAATGCACAGAAGGAAACTTGCATTCCCTGAAGAAACTCCCAAGGCTGTGGCCTTATCTCCACTCCCAACAAGATCCAATAGGGATTTCAGTCACAGAGCTTAAGATGGTATAGGAAATCAGACGGGTTTTCAGATTTTCCCTTCTCAAGCAAAAAAAAAAAAAAAAAAAAAATTTATTTATTTATTTATTTATTTATATAAACCCAACAGGAAAAATCAGCAAGCATCAATATAAGGCTGTAATAATAGGCTGTAGTAATTCTGCAGTTGGGCCTTTCTCACTGGCAAAATTCTTTGAGATAGCTTTCAAGGGTGATAGCAAGCTGAGACGTTCCTAGCTAAAAAGGAATTTGGAGGAATTTATAACCAGTGCTGAGGTAAAGGAGTTCTGTTTACACAGTTTCAGCAGATCCTATGGAGGACCAAATATTTGCAGCTTCCAGCAGCCTTTTTTTCTGAATGTCTAGACTTTTTCTCCTTTCAAATTCATGTTCTGTCATGGAAAGATTCTAAAACATGAGTCAAAACTACAGGGATTTCCTTTTTCCCAAGCAAATTAGACTTCTGTAGGGGAAAAGTTATCATGATATTAGTTAGGTAAAGGAATCATTGGCTTTGGTGATAGTTTGAAACCTAAAATAAAAGCTAAGTCTGAGCTTCATGGTTTCTCCAACAGATTGGAATCTTCCCAAATTCTTTACCTTTTATTTTTCAGATAGAGCACATTTTATTAATCTACCGTATCACCACGCTAAGAAGCAGTTTCTATAAAAGGGTGATCATTAATGAACACTTAGCTCTTATATAACTCTTCCCACTACAAGACTGGCTTTTCAAACATTAATTAATCTTCTTCCACATTCCTGAGTGGGAAATACTCATTTCACTTCTAAAACAAGAGAACCAAAGGGGGGTTAAGTGGCTTGCCCACACAGTGATCTTTCGTCATTACCAGGATTAGAATTCATGAGTTCCACCACCCAGACCAATGCTCACATCACATCTTTCTCATTCTCTGAGCTGACAAAAGCATAATGGGAACTGGTTCCTCCAGTCAGAAATGTATGCTAGTGATTATGTTCTAACACTACACAGCTCATACATAGTAACTGAGAGTGTGCCTTTCATAAGCATTGCTGGGTGGCCTTGCCTTTCTTTCAGTGGCTCTGAATGTTTTGTCTTTAATTTTCCATGCTGCGTAGGCTCATCATCCTTGCATGTGGTGGATTTCATCCTGAATCTCAACACTGGGAAGTTGACTTCAGCTTTAATTAGGTAGCCAAGCCCAATGAAAACAGCAGGAGTGTGTAGAACATAACCCTCTCCAGTTCCTCTTGCATTCAGAGGATATATTTTCTACAACCTGATGTGAATGCCATCTTAGAAACAAGCTGAATAAGTAAGCACTAACATGGCAGTACAGATCAAACAGCACTGATGAGGAAGATTTTATTAGGTTACCAGACACTCTCCTATGAAAGACTTTACGTTCCTTCCAAGTCTGAAATGAAGAAATCACACAACTGTGTTATGAGGAAAAAAACATAATCTGCAGACAGCTTAATCACAAGCATTGAGTACTTTATAAAAGAGAGTTCTGTTCTAAGTTTTGGCCTGTAACAGCCTGTAACTCTCTGGATAAGCAAATTTTCTATCTGTTTATGCTTCTCTATGAGTAAAATTAATATAAAATATTTCCCCTGCTTTAAAAGGAGGTTTAAAATCTATGACTTAAAAGATTTCCTCATCAAATATTTAATAGCTGTGTTGCTGTCATTTTGAAATTGTTACACATTTGGTCCTTGGCAGGCTGTGAGCTATGTTCCAGCCAGCTCTCCACATACATTTTGCACAATCTGTCACCAGTATGACACAGAAGGAAACAATTCATGTTTTTAGTGGAAACAGGAAATTGAGGGAGTATGAGCGGGTTTTTTTCGTTTTTCTTTCTCTTTCTTTTTTTTATTGAATCTAGCTCCTTCACTGTCTTTGCTTTTCTCCTTTGCCTCCTGTTCTTTATTCTCAACTGAGTCGTATCAAACACTAAACTTAAGTCAACTGCTAGCAGGTAGCCATTCGTCAAAATTAGCTTCCTGTCCCACCATTCTCTCTGCTCCAAACAAAACCCATTCCTTCTTTTGCACTGGATTGGTGATATAATTTTCACTGTTACAGCTATGTCCACTGTCTGCACATCTAGGGATCTCAGA